AGGGAGGAGCTGGGGGCGGAGAGAGACACACACAAACAGAGGAACGGAGACCGAGTGGAGGAGGGGAGAGGGAAGAGGGGACGAGGGAGGAGACGGCCCCTCGGTGAAAATATGGGAAGGCCCCGCCGGACTTCTGTGGCCTGGGAGGGGGGCGTGTTGGGGGCTGGGGTGCCTGCCGCCGGGGCTCTGAATCAGAGATCTGTAGACTCTGGCCGCTGGAATGCCTGGGTTCATAGACAGCTCGGTTCATATTTCTTGTTCTAATGACTCCCCTCCCTGTTCTACTTAATTAAAACCAGGAGAGGGGGGCTGGGGGAGATAATTAGGGAGGTCTCCAGCCGCTGCTTAATGAGCCAGTAATTAACCAGCCAGGGAGGGGAGCTGGCCTCTGGCCAGACTGGGGAGAGAGGCGGCCTCTGGCCTCACCTTCCTACCCTCCACCCCCCCCATCCTCGTCCCTTGCTCCCTCAGACACCAGTCTTTAGTCCAGAGGGGAGTTATATTTATTTATACAGCCAAAACATCCGACAGACTCAGCAGCAGTGGGGAGAGAGGGTGGGCGGGGCTAAAGGTTCATTCACAGCCTATAGGCCCCTCAGTCTTGGGGCTAGGGGCTGGTGGTGGGAATAGGAAAATAGTCTTAATCTCTTAGCTGTGCCCACCCACCCATCCTTTCTTCTTACTGGGAGGGAGGGTAAAGCTGTCTTGCAGGTCATAACCCTGGGAGATTTGTCTTTTTTTCGTAAGTGGAGACCTGAGTCCTAGGACCCTGTCTAGTAGCTTGACAACTGGCCCTACAGTGACCCTAGCCACTCTCTGAGATGGTTGCTTGAGATCCTCTTACTGCCCAAGCTCCCAGGTACTTCGGGAGGAAGTTAAATGACCAGCCTACCTTGTCTATTCCCAGGGTTTGATGACTTTCACCCCCTCCACTTCACAGGGAAAGTGATGAGGGCAATGAATATTGAGATTTCTGCTAGGTCTTCCAGTCTTTGGTGCCCCTTCCAAGCAAGGGTTGAGGGCATGCCCAGCTTTGAGCCCCAGGATGGAGGAGAGACTGGTTGGGAACTTAAATCTCAGCAGTGTGTGTGTCTCAGCAGGTGTGTGTGGGGGGCCGGGACCTTTGCTCCTCCATTCGACCCCCACCCTGAACTCTCAGCAGCAATTCCAGGAGCTCCTGCCCCCCTGGGGGGAGGGGAGGCTCTGACCGCTGGGCTTCCATCCGCTGGCACTGGAGGAGTGGAAGGAGAGGGAGACCTTTGGTGAGGGTTTGAGGAAAGGAGGCCCTTGAGAGGAACCAGGGTTGGTATGGGAAGCATATAGGAAACCTGTGATGGGGATGGTGTGACTAGGGGCTGACCATGGGACAGGCACCTAGGGAGAAAGAAGGATAGAGCCCAAAAGAGACCACCGAGGGTCAAGAGACCAGAAGGCTTGGGTCTTGCCTCCTGGAGAAGTCTCACCTGGTGACTGAGGATGGTGCTGTAGAGCTGTTCTTTGTCCTCGAGAGGCCGGGGTGGGGCAGGGGCTAGGCCTGGGGGGTTTTGAGGGGCGTGGAAGGTTGCCCTCTGCTCCTCCAGGCGGCGGGACTGGGCCTCAGCCACCAGGTCCAGAAGGAGCTCAGTTTGCATGGAAAGCAGGGAGGCGGAGCGAGGCCCCAGGGCTGGGGAGAGTAGTGGGAAGGCTCAGGGACCCAGAGGAGTTGACAGATGGGAGCAATGGGGGTTGGGGGCAGGGTGAGGTGACAGGGACTTTGGACCAGAGCAGAGGGGGCACAATGGGGAGTCCCATAAGGAGTCTGGAAGAGGTGTGGAGAGGGCCAACAATGGAGTGGGCATCGCTAATAGGGTCAGGATGTGGGCACCAGGATTGGAGCACTCCCTGGGTGGGTTGGGGATACCTGTGTGGCGGGTCCCTGGAGGAGGAGGGGACGGAGGAGCAGATCGCCAAGGCCGAGTGGTGGAGTTCAGAGGGGGCCAGCCTTGTTCATCCTGAGGGGGGCCCTGATGCCAAGAGACATCCATTCCAGTTAGGCGGTTTAAGAGGGTGGGTGAACAGGGTCTAGGCCAGTGGCCCATTTCCTCTCTGTTGTGTGCCCAAGCCTTTCCGAGTCCCCGTGTCCATCTGTGTCACTACATTTCTGCCCCAGGTCCTCCACGACTCTTCTCTCCCCGTTCAGCCTCCCCGACCCGGTGCCCAGCTCACCTGCTCACCATCTTCTTCCTGGGGTCTCTCGGCCTCCATCCCCTGGAGGGGAGAAACTGATGGGGGAGGGGTGGCTGGGATTTGGGAGGAGGGCCGGAACCTTGGGTTCCTAAGGGGAGTGGGGGCTGGAAGGGGTGGGGGTGAGCTGGGGGCTGGATGCCTGGGTACTGAGCAGGAAGCTGGGTTCCTGGTCAGCCCCCCCACGAGCCCCGCCCATCGCTGTCAACTTCCTCCATTCTTTTTAACCCAAACAGCTTATTTAATGTCTCTCGCCCCAGGGGAGCACAGAGACTGGGAAAAACTCCTTCAGCTGCTGGAGTGGAGGGGGCTCTTGGTAGGGAGGATCTCCTGGCCTTCTCATTTCCAGAGGCTCAGTAGCCCCCCAGCCCCTGGCTCTGCTCCCTCTACCCCGCCTCCCCTTCTGCTCATTCTGTCAACACAGGAACTAGCTACACAGGAAGTGGTTTCACTACTCAGAATCCCCCTTCCCCCAACCAGGTCCCTTCCCTCCTGAAGACAGACCCGGATGTAGGATTTGGGCTTCCCTATCTTCCCTCACACTTATTGGGACTTGAAGGGGCATGGTTTTAGTGGGATGTCGAGCTCTCAAATATATACATATGCTGCTAGCACTGGTTCCAACATACAGTAAGTATTCAATAAATATGTATCAAATAATTATCTTTACCTTCTAGGTGCTTACAGTCTATTCAGGGGACAAGAGGTGCACCAAATGTGAGAGAACAGGACAAGGTTCATTCTGGCAATTCACCCTTTAGTGCACACAGGGGATGGGGAACACTTTACTTTGGTCATAAATTAGGGTTACTGAAATGGAAAAGAGAGGGGACCACCTGTCTGGCTTGGTTGGTTGGCATCAAGGAGGGAGCAGGAGAGAGAAACATTTGGGACTGCTAAATGGCAACCTGCTATGTTTGAGGGTTTACAGCTGAATGACTTAGAGAATAAAACATGATGAAGAAAATATCTGGTCCTGCCACTTAAAGCCTTACAATCTTGGATAAATAAAATCTCTATTCAACTCATTTCTGAAAAAGGGTTTTAATAGCAACTACTTCAGAGGTGATGTTATTAAATGTAATAAAGCATTAGTGCACAGTGAAAGCTCAATAAATTGTAGTTATTATTGGCTTTCAAAGTGCTTCATGTCTTGACGTCTCAGACCTAGCAACATTAAAAAGGTAGGACCATATTGCTGCAAGGTGGATAAAGTTTAAGACTCTCCATCTCCTTGACTTGAGGCCTTAGGAATCTCCTAAGTGGCTGTAACTAAATGCCCTTGATGAGGAACAAAGCATGAGCATGGCCTAGCGCATATGTGTGTGGGTTCTTTGGGCTACTACTCTTGCTTTCAGATAACACCCTACATTAACATGGTACCCACAAACCTATTTATTCTTGCTTTTAAGCTACCCTTACAGCTTTCATCCAAATGTTGAGCCTAGGGCATAAAATTCTGACAACACTATGCAATCACTCCTATATTTTTTTCCCATTCCTCTCCCTAACCCCTCCAAAAAAAATAATAATAATAACACTTCAAATCTGTTTTATTATGGGTGGCAAATTTGGGGTTCTTAGAGATAGCAGTGGGTAGAAGAATGGCATTTCATCCCTGCAGTGGAGTTTGTTGGGAGTGGGGGAAGGAATGCAAGGAGTCATCAGCTGGGGTGGCCCTTGGCCACTTTTCAGTATCTACACAGTGCCTGGCACATAGTAGTTGCTCAATAAATATATCAGCCTCTTGTGGGCAGAGGGGACAATGGATAATAGAGGCTCCCTTTGGAAACCATATACAGGAAAGAATATCTTATATCCTTTCTGCCTACAGTTCTTGATTCCAGTTTAGGGGTACTATTCATTCCACTCTTCCCTCCTGTAGCCTCTCAATCTTATTTTCTGGGAGACCAGGTCGGCCTCATCCCACATCCTAAATCTTCTTTCCAGAGCTGCGGCTTCTCTACGTGGATGATACCTGTTCTGGTGGGCATACACTCATTTTAGGAGGGAAGCTAAACTTACGACCCCTCACTTTTGGGGCTCCATCTTAAAACCTGGAAAGGTTTCTAGACTGCCGGTCATTTATGGGTATTCGTTTTTAGAACTCTTCCCCCACCACGTAGCCTTCTATTTCTTATCATCTCCTCCTGGGTTTACGGGTATTTCTTGGTGGGCTGGGGGACCCCAGACAACTTGAGGGGACCCCCGCTCTGGAGACGGAGTAAGGCAATGAGGCGGGATCGGAATGTTGGACGCGGGACCGCAGGCTCCCAGGGCCACCCAATCACAGGGCCAGTCATCCCCTGAGGCTCTGCCCCCGCGCCCGGCAGCGACTCCGGATCGTCCTCGCGCTATCGCGGGGTTGTGCCGAGGCCTGCGCATGCCTGAAGAAAACCTACGGCCGCGTGGGGGCGGGCCTCCTCCTGCTCCTCCTCCGGAAAGGCTCCGGCCATGCGAGTAGGCCCCGCCCCCGCGCGCGGCCAAGTCTACGGACCAAGTCCGGGCTTGCAGACAAACTCCGCCCCCACGCGGGCCTGCTCCGGCTGACAGCGTCCGGCAACGCGGTAGAGCCCCGCCCCCGTGCGGCGGCACGCTTCCTGACGAGGTCCGTGCGCGCGGGAAGGCCCCAGCCTCGCGGCCCGGCGTGGCCTTATGACGCGCCTCCGGCGGCCCCGCCCCTTCCAGCAGCGTCAGCAGATCCCAGTGGTTACGCTGGCGGGCGATGTCTCCGGGTGTCTGCCCAGCTTGGTCTCGCAGTTCCCGGGCCGCCCCCAGCCCCAGCAGCAGCTGGGCTACCTCTACCGCTCCTTCCCGGGCCGCCAGGAACAGCGGCGTCTGGTCCTGTACAGGAAGAAACGGCCGGGGGCAAGGTCAGGAAAGGCCACGCCCACAGACAGAACTGGGCCTTTCTGCCTGAGCTTACATGACCGCTAACCCCCTTCATTCAGTCTTGTCGGGATTCGCGCGCTTTCCGTCTCTCCCGCGGCCCTTTCTAACCCTGCTGTCCTGGGCGTCTTTATCGGCTCCGGCCTGGAGAAGGGAGCGGGTGGCTCGGGCGTTGTTCACGGCAGCGGCCCAATGCAGCGCGGTTTTCCCTAGGGCATGACGTGGGAGTTGTTAGTGCGGTTGCGGGCCAGACGCCTAGGTTCCGGTTTCCCACGGGTTGTGGCCTTGGTGGGGGAAGGGCTACTAAGGTCCGTGGGCCCTTCAAAGGCGGGAAGCGTTGCCTAGGCGACCGCCTGCCGGCAGGAAGCGTTACTCAGGTGACGTCATCGGCGTGCGGGAGGGACAATGGGGCATTGTTCTAGGGTCGGTGGGATCGGGAGACCACCTCCCCCTTCTCTCTGGCACTCTCCTCCATCCCAATTTCTGGTGGGCTGGGGCACAGTGAGTGTGTTGAGGATGGTGGGAGAGAAACTCGCTCCCTACTGCCACCGCACTGCATATTTATCACCATGACAGCAGGGTGGGAGGAAATGCCTCTATTTACACGTCGTCTTCCACCTCATCTGCTCAACTTCTCTATGGCACATCATCCCCCCCCCCACCCCAACATACCCCATTTATCTCTGGCCCCTACGTCAGCTCGGGCTGCAATCAGTTCTTCAACCAGGTCCTCCACCGCCAGTCTGGCGGCCAGCATCAGAGGTGTGGTGCCGTCCACTGTGCGCGCGTCCACTGCAGTTTGTCTGGTTCGAAGTAACAGCTGGGGGTGGGAAGAAAGGGGCAGTGACCCCTGGGGTACCCTGAACTGCTAGCTCAGGTCCTTCACACTTTCACCCACCCTCCTGTTTGCCTTTCGGGTACCTAGTGGCATCAATCAACCCCTAGGGGATGATTCTGCCCAGTTTTACTTTTAGGGACCCCTGTGTGTGCTGACCTGGCAGACCTCCCGAGCATCAGCAGCCACAGCAGCGTGAAGGGGAGTGCGTCCTGCCCGATCTGGCTGGTTGGGGTTGGCTCCAGCCTCAAGGAGGCGGCGGGCAGCGGTTGACCGGGAGAATCGGGCTGCCAGGTGCAAGGGGGTCTCCCCAGTGCCCACGGTGTGAGTCTGGGGAGAGGCCCCTCCATCCAGAAGAGGTTCCCAGGGCTCAGGACATCCTAACCATGCCCCTTGGAAGGTCCTGGACTCTACTCCCCCACAGCAAACTGCTGACATGAGGGGTGTCACCCCATCTGTGGGTGAGATATGAGTAATGGGTCAATCTAAAGAATACAAGGGAGAGAGAACTTGGAGGCTCTGGTAGAATCAAAGCTTGAGGTGTTGAGAAATCAAATTTCTGGCTCTTTGTGTGACTTTATTGATTTTTATGCATTTCTCTGAGCTTCAGTTTCCTTGTCTGTAAAAGGAGACAGCGGGCCTTAATTCTCTAACATTCAAGAGCAGTGGTTTTCTCAAACTCGAGTCTGGATCAGATGCACCTAGAGGGCTTGTTGAAACAGATTGCCTAACATTTTGAGTTTCTGAATCAGTAGCTCTGTAGTGGAGCCCCCCTAAGAGTGCATTTCTAGCATATTATCCAGGTGATGCTAATTTTGAGGCCCACCCTTCAAGAATCACTGTTGTGAGGCACTAAGTATAATATTAGTTTCTCCAATTCTGCCATTAAAGGACTTTGTGGTTCTAAAAGGGTCAAAGGAGGTTTTTTCATCTTGGTCTGAGTTGACTCATACCAGGTCCATGGGTGTCCAGGTCAGGAGCCTCCATCTCAGATTCCTGGGGAGGAGTCAGCATAGCTGCCTGAGGGAGCTCCTCACAGCCACCAGTCAGAGGCCAGAGCTGACACTTGGAGGATGGGGCCGTTTCTTCAACCTTAGGGTAAGAGCAAAGATGAGTGAAGGTGGTTGATCTGTCCTTTCTTCCCCTCCATTACCTTCAGATCATTCTTGCCCCAGCCCTTTCACTTGACTCACCTCTCTCTCCTCAGGACCTGAACACATCACAACTTCATCCTCATCAGCTTCTGCCTCTGGCTTCAGTGTCCTGGAAGGGGGTGGGTGGGTAGAGGTTACATGGATTTGTGATCATCAGGGTCTCCAGGATTTCCAGTGGCTTCCTTACCCCCTCTCTTCTTCCCCTGTCTTTGAGTTCTGCAGTAGCATTCCTTATCTCTTATCATAAATATCTCCATTGGAAAATCTTCCCTCCCAGGGCCCGGGTTCCTCCTCACTCTCACTTGAGACCGATGCTGTCCTCCCCCAGTGGGGGTCGGCGTCGGCGGGGAGCTGGCTGAGTCCGAGGCCTTCGAGTGAAACCAGGGGGCAGCCAGAGGGCTCCATGCTCTCTGCGTCGGCGCCGGATGAGCTGGAGGACAAGAAGAGCCCCTAGGGCCAGGAGAACCACCCCAGCCACTGGCGAGCACAGCACAGGCCAGGGAAGCTGGTTGGCAGGGGGTGCTAGTGGGAGAGACAGAGTCACAAACAAAGGCCATTCCTGGTGAGAGACCTTTGTGCAAGTTCAGTAACCTCTCTGCCCCAGTTTTTCTCATCTGTGAAATGGGGATAGTGATACAGATTGAATATCACTAATCCAAAATCCAAAAATGCTCATTGTACCATTTTGGATTTCAGATTAAGGATGCTGAACCAAGAAGTATAATGCAACTATTTCCAAATCTGAAACACTTCTGATTTTGAGCATTTAAGATAAGGGATACTCAACCTGTAGTACCTGACTCATGGGGGGTGTTGGGAGGATTAAATGAGATAAGGTAAAGTGCTTAGAGTAAGGCACAGAGTAAGTATGATGTAACAGTTATTCTTTCATGTAGTAGGAATTGTTTGAGACAGACAATTAGGTATTCTCGATGTAGTACAGAAGAAAAACCAGAACCCAAGGTTTGTTGGAGAGCTATGACAGAGGTTAGGGTAAAAGTACTTAGGGAAATAAGTAAGGAGACTGCAGAACAAATGGACTGTCCAGTTAGAGAAAGGGGGTTTAGGTGAGTAAGTCCCCACAAAGAACATTTTGGGTCTCAACTATCCTGTTTCATTCAACTTTTGTTGTCTGTTTCTGGCATGAGAGCTGGCCTGGGAGCAAAGGTCAGAGGAACTGGAAGGGGGTCACGTACCAGTGCCTGCATGAGGGTGGACAGCCAGCAGGGGTCCAGGCAGTAGTGGTTCCAGGGCACCTACTGCAGCCATTGCGGCAAGGAAGCGGAGCAGAAGTCCAGGGTCCCAGGGACAGGGGGGTGTCGGGTGTTCAGGGCCACAGTGGGACAAATCCACACCCATCACCACCACAAACCTGTAGGGGAAGCAGCTCAGACCCCCGTGTTGGTCCCAGGCTCTATTCCTACCCCCTGCCCAGCTAGTGTCTAGCCCATCCCTCTGCCCAACTTACCCAGTGCTGAGAGAGTCCGTCTCCTTGCCCAGGAGCTGTGTTTGAGGGGCTTCTCTCTCGTGAGAGGGGTCCCGAGTACCTCCTAGTTCCTCTTCGGCCCGTGCCCCAGGATAGGGGTACACCATGTCCCTGCCATCACTATCCTTCCTCACCCAGAGCCCTACCCTGAGAGTCAGGGACAGCACCCGGGCCAGGGCAAGCAGCTGCTGGTCCAGGGCTGGGGGCCTCAGCACCACTAGCAGAGCCAGGGAGGGGCCCCACTCTGGGTCCCCATCATCGGGCCTGCAATCACCTCCATCCCAGCCACATTCTGCAGTGTTGCAGCCTTTCTCACAGTGCCCATTGTGGAAGTGATCGCTGCAGTATTGATCATAGGCTGGACTGTGGGGTGAGGAGAAGGGAATCAGAACCCCATTAAAAGTCCTCCTCCCCTCTTTACCCCAGAGAGAATACCTGACATTTCGTGACCTCTAGGGCTCTGGTTGCTAAGTGGGGGCTGCTGTAGAGCAATGAGCCCTAGACAGTAGTCCAGACACCCTAATGTCTGCTGACACCCTCATCTCCTGAGACCTGTATCTCTCTATCCTCCCAAGCTCTCTTGATTTTCTGAAGGAGAGTCTAGGGCCCTTTTCCTCTGTGGGGTGCTGGTTGTTAGGGGAGATACTCCATAGCAGCAGGGTTTAGGGAGGGAGGCTTGAGGCCTGAGTTCCACAAGCCTCAGGGAGAAGCCCAGAGAGAGGCCATGCCCCACATTAAATATTGATCTACTCCACTACTCTGGTTTGGAGTCCAGCATCTTCTACCCCGACTTAACAATGGTTATTATGGTGGGAATTCCCTGGAGTCTGAAGCTGTGGCCACAGTGACTCAGAGGCATCTATGTCCTTCCTCTTTCTCAAACCCAACCTCCTTCCCCAGCTCCAGTGGGTTTCAGCTCACGTGCAGGTTGGAGGGGTCTCACAGTCGTAGCCATCAAATAGACACTCTTCAGAGTCACACTGTGGGTGGCACTTTCCATCCCGGAAGAGAAGCCAGCACTGAGAGTGGGACGGGCAGCCTTTCCAGGGGTCTGGGACCCCCAGGGAGCAGTCCCCTCCATCCCAGTTTCTTCCCGGGCCACTGCAACCATCGTCACAGGCCCCGTCTCCGCCTCTGCCTTCACACCCCTTAGCTCCAGGCCTCTGACATCGGGGCCCTGGAGAGTTGGGAGGGCAGGAACATCGAAAGCCTGGACCCCCTAGCCCAGGGGTCTCTGAGCAACTGCCATTGTATAGGCATGGGGAGGGGGGGCCACAACCTTGAGGAGCTGGTGGGGTCAGGCAGTCAGGACCACCGTAGCCACTGAGGCAGGCACAGCGGGGTGGGAAGCCTGGCTTAGGGGAGGGCAAGCACAAGCCTCCGTGGTGGCAATGATGGAGACCACAGGAAGGTGCTCTGTGGCTACAGGTGGGGCCTTCAAAACCCTGTGGAGAGGGGAGGAGATATTGGGGAAAAAACTTGCATTATTCCCACACTCCCTCAAGCAAACTCTTGGGTTAAGAGCGCAGAGAGTCTTAGATTCTGATATCTAAAAAACTCAGAGTACCAAGTTAATCATTTTATGGATGTTGAAACCATGTCCCATGGTAATTTCACACAATGACATATCTTGGTGAAAATGAACGAACCACAGCTGTGTGCAACAACCTAGATGAATTGTAGCATCATAATGCAAGTTCTGGAAGACTAAACAGTTAATAGAGTTGAATACTATTATATTATTATCTTAATCCTTGGAAATAGGATTCTATGCCTTTCTTTTCCTCTTGAGAAGGAACAAGAGAGGAGGAGGATGTAAGTAGATGTAAGTTATTTTTATTGTTATTTTTGATTTGGAGTCTCTGTGGCCCAGGCTAGAGTGTAGTGGTACAATCACAACTCAACCACAGCTTCAACCTCCTGGGCTCAGATGATCCTTCTGCCTCAGCTTTCCATGTAGCTGAGACTACAGGCATGCGCCAGCACACCCATCCCTATTATCATTATTTTATTATTATTTTTTGAAACTTGACCTCACTCTGTTGCCCAGGTTGGAGTGCAGTGGCACAATCTCAGCTCACTACAATCTTGACCTCCTGTACTCAAGGGATCCTCCCATCTCAGCCTCCTGAATAGATGGAACTACAAGTGCTTGCCACCGCAGCTGGCTAAATTAAAACAAAAAATTTTTGTAGAGACAAGGTCTCACTATGTTATCCAGGCTAGCCTCAAACTTCTGGGCTCAAGTGATCCTTCCGCCTTGGCCTCCTAAAGTGCTGGGATTACAGGCGTGAGCCACTGTGAGCTGTTAGTTATTATTAATTTAGGTTCATGGATATTTCATTGTTAGAATCATAAAACAAAAAATGGCCAGGCACAAACCAATGTCTGTATATTATGAATCAATGCTTAAGATTAATCCAGTTCCATGCATCTAAGGCCTATAATATACACATACAGAGTTGAAGAACTTATCCAATTTATCCATCCAGCTTGACCCTGAGGAGCTTTTGACCTTTCCTTAGGCAATGTCCATGATTTCTAAAAATCCCATTCATGCTACCAACTGACCTGGGCTTTCCCCTGATTGCTTCTGAGAGCTCACTGTGAACTTGGGATGACTTTTCCCAATAATTTCCACTCCAATGCTTTCCTGTGCTCCTTCTAGGATTCTGATCACATTCTCACCTTTTGTCAGTGTAGGTAGGAGGCAACAGAGAAGGCGGCTTTGCAGTCACTTACCTTGGGACAGTGGCAGGTAAAACCCAGGGGTGGTCCTGTTGTGGTCTCACAGGACCCTCCATGAAAGCAGGGCTGGCTCTGGCAAGGATCTATCTCCACCTCACACCTCTGGCCTGTAGTGGGCAAGAAAGCAGACATCACACACTGCATCAGCCACTGCCTCCCTACTAGCTCATTCCTGGGAGTCGGCCCAGCATTAGCTGTGCAGGCAAAGGGATCCTGGGGCATCCTCTCTGGCGCAGAGCATGGAGGCAGGGGATGGACAAGATGACTAGGCTGTGGGTGGGGACTGAGTGGCTCTCCACTGTCTGTGCAACTGTGCCCTAGAAATGTCTGCACCCCCCACCCCATCCCAGGCCTCACCTGTGTGTCCAGGCCGACATTGGCAGTAGAAGGCATTGGACAGAGAGTGGCAGGTTGCAGTGCCTGTGGGATGACAGGGCTGGTCCAGACACTCATCCACGTCCCCCTCACAACGTAGCCCCACAAAGCCTGGTGGACAGGCACAGTGGAAGCCTCCAGGTTTGGGGGTGCAGATTCCATGGTTGTGACAGGGTTGGGACTGACAAGCATCAGGTTCCTTTGAGCAGTTCTGTCCATTGTAGCCTGGGGCACACTGCAGGCAAAGAGTCAGATGAAACCAGTGGATGCATCCAGCCTATCACGGAATGGGACCTAGCACAAGATAGTCGGCCCAGCTCCACACCTTCCAGTCAACAGCATCACTCAACTCACCATCCATCATGACTACATGTCACTTAATTCTTCTATCTCAACTTCAGCTTCACATGATAACAACAGTTGTTCAGTAGCTTACAACTTAACCCTCCCCAGTCTCTAGGACACATTGCCACCAAACAGAGTCCCATTCTTGGTGAAACCTCCTTCCCCTTCCAAAAACACACCAGGCTCTCCCATGCTTTATTAGTTAATTCATGAGCATCTACTGAATGCCTACTTTGTGCCAGGAACTGTTGTAGGCACTAGGAATACAAAGAAGATCAGAACTCATTCCTGTTACCCCAAAGCTCTCAACCAGAGGAGAGAGACATCTATTTATTGCATGTTTTATATATAACTTCACAAAAATCCCATTTGATTATCTCATTTGATCCTTGCTTTACAGATAAGGAAACTGAGTCCCTGAAAGGTTAAGTGACTTGGACAAGTCACATAGCGATAGGTGGCAGGTCTGTGACTCCATAACTAATGCTCTGTACCTTTTTCTGATTGCTGCATTCCACTCTGCTAGTAAGATAAGGGTTATTGACAAGATCTGTACCATGTGCTGGGTTCTTGCAAGAGGAAGAAGGGCATGGAAGAGGAGAGTACCAGGAAGACTTCAAAGAGATGGAGGAAAGGGAATTCACAAAGAATCCAAGGGGCCAGAGACCTGGAAGGAGCAGGTGAGGGAGGTTTTGGAGACCTCTGAATAACAGCATTTCATAAAAGAGGAAGTAAAGCTGAGTAATGGGTGCACAGAGGTTCACTACTGTTCAGTATTCTAATTCTGTATATGTTTGAAAATGATCGTAATAGGCCAGGATCGGTGGCTCAACCTATAATCCCAGCACTTTGGGAGGCCGAGGTGATTGGATTGCCTGAGCCCATGGGTTCAAGACCAGCCAAGGCAACTTGGCAAGACCTCATCTCTACAATAAATAAAAAACTAGCCAGGTGTGGTAGCTTGTGCCTATAATTCTGGCTACTTGGAAGGCTGAGGTGGCAGAATTGCCGGAGTCCAGTAGGTTGACACTGAGGTGCCGTGAGCATACCACTGCAATCCAGCCTGGGTGATGGAGTGAGACTCCAACTCAAAAAAAAAAAAGAAAAGAAAAGAAAAAATGTTCATATTAACGTGTTAAAAAGTGAAAGGAGCTGCGTTAGGGGATCTGCATTGAATCTTCTATCAAAAGTTGTGGTTCTGCCGGGCTCGGTGGCTCAGCCTGTAATCCTGTGCTTTGGGAGGCTGAGGTTAGTGGATTGTCTGAGCCTGCGAGTTCAAGACTTGCCACGGCAACTTGGCCAGACCTCATCTCTACAATAAATCAAAAAATTAGCCGGGCATGGTAGCGAGCGTGCACCTGTAGTTCTAGCTACTTGGAAGGCTGAGGCGGAAGGATTGCCGGATCCCAGCAGGTCGAGGCTGCGGTGGCTGGGAACGTGCCACTGCACTCCAGTCTGGGCGACAGTGAGACTCCAAAAAAAAAGGACTGTTATCAATGTGGAACAACTCAACTCTGTTCTGACTGTTCTGATTATCATAACTTAAGCAGAGTGAACCACATTTAACAACTACACTCAACACATTTCATCCCACTCTACTCACTTTGATGTTATACCAACTCCTTTGTAAAAGAGTACCCCCTTATTCAAATAAGGTTTTGAGAAGAATTCAGGAAAGAGAGTACTATGGGATTAGGGGATGAGCCTTTTTTTTTTTCTAATAAATTCAGTAAAGTTGCGGGATGTACAAAATCAACATACAAAAATCAGCATTTTAATATACCAATAATGAACAATAAAACAAATTGAGAAAGCAATCTAATTTACAATAGCTATAAAAAACACCTAGGAATAAACTTAACCGAAGAAGTGAAGGATTTCTACAATGAAACTACAAAACACTGATGAAATAAATTGAAGATGACACACAAAAAATTGAGAGATATCTCATGTTCACAGATTGAAAGAATATTGCTAAAATGTTCATAAAGTGATCTCGAGATTCAGTGCAATCCCTATCAAAATACCAATAACATTTTCACAGAAATAGATAGAAAACATCCTAAAATTTATATGGAACAACGAAAGACCTTGAATAGCCAAAGCAATCCTGAGCAAAAAGAACAAAGCTGATAGAACTACCATGTGATCCAGCAATCCCACTACTGGGTATAGTGTTGTAATACTCATGGGAGTACAGCTATCTCTTTGATAGACTGAAGGAAATCAAGCAGTAGGAAATCAGGAAATAGTCTCTCAAAGACATAGGTGTACTCCCATGTTTATTACAACACTATTCAGCCAAGATATGGAATCAACCTAAGTGCCCATCAACAGATGAATGAATTAAGAAAATTTGGTATATTTATGCAATGGAATACTATTCAGATTTTAAAAAGGAAGGAGATTTTGTCATTTCCTGCAAATTGGATGAAACTGGAGGACATTATATTAAGTGAAATAAGCCAAGCCCAGAATGACAAATGTAGCATGTTTGCACTTGTATGTAGAAGATAAAAAAGTTGATTTCATGAAGATAGAGAGTAGAATAGTGGTTACCAGAAGCCAGGAAGAGGGAGTGACAAGGTGGGGGATGAAGGGAGATTTGTTAACAGACATAAAATTACAATTAGATAGCATGAATAAGTTGTAGCATGTGATAGCACTGTAAAATGACTATAGTAAACAATAATTACAGAGTACCACATGTTCTAACTCATAAATGGACTCTGAACATTTACCGTAATACTATAAGAAAGGGATTGGCGGTAGCAGGATACTGCCAGGGTGGGCTGGGGGGTGCACAACATCAATGAGTACCTGATCTCAAACCAGGCAAAGTGGGGACCAAAGGGAGGCCCAAACTATACTTGTATGATGACCACTTGTATACCTAATCGTGAATTGTACATAAAAACAAAAAACATTAATTTACTGTATATTCCAAAATAGCAGGTTTGAAATGTTCTCAACACAAACAAAGTTTTGAGGTGATGGATGTCCCAATTACCCTGATTTTTTTGTTTGTTTGTTTGTTTTAGAGATGAGGTCTCACTACATTGCCCGGGCTGGTCTTGAACCCCTGGGTTTAGAAAATCCTCTCACCTCCATCTCCTAAAGTGCTGGGATTATGGGCATGAGCCACTGGGTCTGGGTCTGATTTTTAAAAAAATATGAGACAGGATCTTGCTCTGTCATGCAGGCTGGAGTACAGTGACACAATTATGGCTCACTGCAGCCTTGACTTCCTGGGCTCAAGTGATCTTTTGCCTCAGCTTCCTGAGTAGCTAGGACTCCCAAGTAGCACACGACACTGTGCCTGGCAATTTTGTGTGTGTGTGTAAAAATGGGGTCTTGTTACGTGCCCTAGACTTGTCTTGAACTTATGGTCTCAAGAAATTCTCCTGCTGGATTCTCAAGGCATCTGCTGGATTACAGGTGCGCATCACTGTGCCCAGCCTTTTTTTGATTTCTTTAAAATTATTTTTTTGGAGACAGGCTCTTGCTATGTTACCCAGGTTGGTCTCAAATTCCTGTTCTTAAGCAATTTTCCCTTCTCAGCCTCCCAAAGTATTGGGATTACAGGTGTGAGCCACCCTGCCAGGCGGACCCTGATTTGATCATTATATATTGTATGCATGCATCAAAACATCACATGTATCCCTTAAATGTGTACAATTATGTATCCATTTTAAAAAAGAAAATGGCAGCCACTAAAAATAGAAGTTATGGTTCTGAGTATAGGAATCAGTGTGCTTGGACCTGAATCTCAGCTTTGCCTGAATCTCTTACTGGCTTAGTGATCTGGACCACAAAGGAGAGGCCCTAACCTAGCCTGGAGAGAAATTAGAGACATCTTCCTGAGAAACGTGCCTCCAGGACACCATCTAGTGGAAAAGGGGGAATGCAGTAGCAGGGATAAAGGCTGAGAGGCAAGAATCAGTATGGAGTATGCGGAAAGCCCGTAGCAGTTTGTGTTGCTGGAGCAGAGTAGGAGGGTGGCGACAGGGAGAGCTGAGGACTGAAAGGCAGGCGGACCTGGGTCATGCAGGGCCTTGGACTTTCTTCTGAAAGAGGTGGGCAGCCACTGAAGAGTGTTCAGCAGGGAGTGACAGGTCAGCTTAACATTTTCAGTAGAGTGCCCTGGCAGTGGGTCAAAGGCTGAATCTATAGAGGGACAGGTGAGGCGGCGGGGATGATAGTCAGGAGGCCGCTGCAGGTATCCAGGTGGAATGCAACAAAGGCTTGGGACAAAGGGTGAAGGTGAAAGGACAGTTGAGACATAATCAGGAGGTAAAATGGCATGACTTGGTGGTTAGTTGGACATGTGGGGGAAAGGAAAGGAAGTGGAAACAGTCACATTGTGTCTTCCCCTTATTGCCACTGTCTCACATCCAGCCCACCCTTCCTCTCCCCTCTCCTCTAGACCCTCTCACCTGGCAGAGATACCCACTGGGCTGGACCACACAAGTGGCCCCGTGCTGGCAAGGCCTGGACTCACATGGGTTCACATGATCCTGGCACAAGCTGCCTTGGAACCCAGGGGGGCAGTGGCAGAAATAGGAGGGGCCATTGTCGATGCAGAGGCCACCATTCTGGCAAAGAGAAGAGACCTCGATACCTAGGGAGGGAGAAAAACAAGGATCTATAAAGGTAAGTGGGATATAAGGGTGTTTGGGGCCTCAGACTCTGAGCGTGGAGGCCTTTGCTTTGGGGACCACTAACATTATGGGGTGGAGACCACTCTGAGCCTAAGGAGTTAATAATTCCTGACAGTAGCTGGTCTCGGTGGCTCAGCCTGTAATCCCTCGGCTTTGGGAGGCTGAGGTGAGTGGATATTCTGAGCCCGCGGGTTTGAGACCCGCCTGGGCAACTTGGCGAAATCTCATCTCTATAATAAATCAAAAATTAGCTGGGCGTGGTAGCGCACACCTGGAGTTCCAGCTACTTGGAAGGCTGAGGCGGAAGGATCACTGGAGCCCAGCAGGTCGAGGCTGCAGTGGCCAAGAGTGGCCACTGCACTCCAGTCTGAGTGACAGAGTGAGACTCCA